TAGATATATTATTATATATAATATTATATATATTATAAATATATAAACCTTTTGTTTTTGTGTATTATTTTTTGGTCTTTTTGAGACAGGGTCTCCCTGTAGCCCCAGCCATCCAGAAACTCACTATGTAGACCAGGCTAGCCTTGAACTCACAGAAATCCACCTGCCTCTGCCTCCCAAGTGCTGGGATTAAAGGCATGCGCCACCACGCCCGGCTGTTTTTATGTATTTTTATTATTTATTTATATTTTTATTATTTTATGTGGGTAAGTGTATTGCCTGCTTGTATGTAAGCGAACTCATGTTGTGCAATGCTGTGGAGGTCAGAAGAGGGCATTGGATCCCCTGGAACTGGAGTTACAAACAGTTGTTAGCCTCCATGTGGGTGCTAGGAACTAAACCCAGGTCCTCTGGAAAAGCAAGAAGTTCTCTTAACTAATGAGCCATCTCTCCAGATCCTGTTTGTCTGTTTTGAGACAAGGTCTCACTGTGTATCCCTGGCTGGTCTGAAACTCTCTACACAGAGTAGGCTGACCTTGAACCCCCCCCCCCCCCCCCACCACCCCCCCCCCTTTTTCTTTCTCTGTGGGGGAAAAAGGAAGGAAACACTACCACATCGCAAAACACAAAACAACACACTTATCTTTTTTTTTTTTTTTTTTTTTTTTTGGTCTTTTTGAGACAGAATCTCCCTGTAGCCCCAGCTGACCTAGAACTCACTATGGAGACCAGACTGGCCTTGAACTCACAGAGATCCACCTGCCTCTGCTGAGATTAAAGGCATGCATGGCCTCGGGCTTGTTGTTTTTTATGTCAAGCATTGCTGGACTCTATAAATGCCACCAGGACAAGGTCTACCCATCTTCCTTGCTTACTGCTGAAACACCAGGGCCTCACCCACGGCCCAAACCAGCTCAGGCCTTAGTATTTATTAACTGGTGTTAACTGTGGAGGCTGGACATGTTCCCAAAGAGGCTACCACCATACAGCAGCCAGGGCCAAGGGCTGAATGAATTGGATGATCCATTGTATGAAAGTTTGCTATGAGGACAGACACTGGTGGGAATATGAGGAAGGATTTAGATAAACAGGGAGGAGCCAGAAGGGCTTCTTGGGCATGTGCAAAATCCTTAAGGCAGGATGTTGTAGACATGTTTTGGTAAGAAACAAACCAGTGTCAATAGGGAGACTCCTGAAATGGAGGTGGGAGACAGAAGCCTGAGGCTATGCTCTAGATGTTTCTGCAAGCTTAGCTTACTTCTTTGCTCCAGATTCAAGTTCAACCATCTTGTGAGAGTCTCCACCAGTTGGTCCTACAGCAATCCCAGTATCTCTGAAACCAAATGTGTTATCTTCCTGGATCTTCTCAGGTCCTTCAGTAAGTTCCTCATCTTCAAAGTGTTTTCAGGGCCTCCCTCTCCTTCGAGCAGTTCAATCAATAATAAAATCTACTGCTTCTCAGTTATCCTCCAGACTCCAGAGAGATCAAGTGTAAGCACAAATCTGGCCAGATGCTTCCCACAGAGCATTCCTCATTGCCTGTGGAGTCCACTGACTCCTCAGCACATGCTTGCTTCTATATGATCTGGCCTGCTTATATCCTGTGTCTGGCTGCCCCACCCATCCCTATGTTCCAGCTCGCCCTCAGCTTGATCCATATTCTTTTTGTTATGTTTTTAGCTAGGGTCTCACCATGTAGCTCAGGCTATAATCCTTTGGCCTCAGTGCCCTAAAATCAGTACTGGCATAACAGTGTGTGCCATTACCTCCAACCTGATCCACATTTTGAAACTTATCATTGGACTGTCTAGTGCTCTCATAGCCTTCTGATTAATGCTACCCTCCAAGAAGCCTTTCCTGACATTACATCCTTTGATGCCTCCTGCTCACCTCTGAACTCTAAGAGTCTCTTGTTCCTATTTATTTGAGACAGGGTCTCACTATGTAGCCCTGAGTGGTCTGGAACTTACTATGTAGACCAGGCTGGCCTTAAACTATCAGCCTGCCTCTGCCTCCCAAGTGCTGAGATTAGAGAAGTACCAGTGTGCCACCATACCCAGCAACCTCTTTTCTTTTTATCATATTATTTTTTAATTATTTTCCTTCAGGTCTTCCTACTCCAGGATACTATGAACTTCCTCAGGAAGCACAATTGTCTTATTTCATCTTTGTCTCTCAGTCTCTGGAGAGTACTGTTAAAATACCAGCTAAAGGTGCATGCCTTTGATCACAGCACTAGGGAGGCAGTGACAGGGAGATATCTGTGAGTTCCAACCGGGGCTACATAGTGAGACCCTGTCTCAAAAAACAAAAACCCAACAACAAAAGCAGTTAAGGAGCTGGGGCTGGAGAAATGGCTCAGTAGTTAAGAGCACTTTCTGCTCTTGCAGAGGACTTGGGTTTGGTTCCCAGTACACATGATTGCTAACAACCATCTGTTACACATGAAGGTAAAATAGTCATACACATAAGAAATTAATAATAAAAAAAACCCTCAAACAGGTAATTGGTGTGACTGTATAGGATTATAATCCCAGCACTCAGGATGCTGAGGCAGGATGTGTCAAAAAGTGAAAAACCAAGCTAAAGAGGGGGGCTGGGAGTGGTGGCACACACACCTTTAATCCCAGCACCAGGGAGGCAGAGGCAGGTGAATCTATGAGACCAAGGCCAGTCTGGTCTATACAGATAGTTCAAACTAGCTGTAGCTACAGGGAGACCCTGTCCCAACAAAACAAAAAATAACAAGCTAAGAAATACCAGGCTCCAGCTGGGCGTGGTGTCACACGCCTTTAATCTCAGCACTTGGGAGGCAGAGGCAGGCAGATCTTTGTTGAGTTCAAGGCCAGCCAGCTGAGGCTACAGGGAGACCCTGTCTCAAAAAGAGGAAAGAAAGGGGAGGGAGGGAGGGAGAGGGAGAGGGAGGGAGGGAGAGGGAGAGGGAGAGGGAGAGGGAGAGAGGGAGAGAGAGAGAGAGAGACTCACACACACTGAGTTACTTTTCACATAAGCACTATCATTATGCCTGCTAGCAATGGAAGAAACTAAGGCACAAGAAGCTCATTGCCAAGTCCACCGAGTTAGATTCAGATCTAATGCCTGTCTGATCTTAGCTACTTCGACCTCCGTGTTTGCTGAAGACTAAAGAGTCAATGATGGTCTCAAAGTATGTGATTTCAGTTTAAAGTGAAAGGGCTGTCACAGAACAGTCTCAAGGCACCGGCCACGGTCACCTAAATGGAATCGCCCGTCTGAACACCTTCTATGGCTGAGAAAAGAAATCTTTGCTCCAGAAGGTAAAGGGGCAAGCGCATGCGGCCATGGGCATACCCAGTAGCGCAGCGCTGGGTCGGGGGAAAGTCTGGCCAGTGCCAGGCAGCCTGTCCAAGAGGTGGAAGGTCCAGCGTGGGTTCCGGAAGGAGGAAAGACGAGCAGGTGTGGGATCTAAATTAGGACAAGGGCGGGAAGCGCGCTCCTTGCAGAAGGACGCAGCTCGCCCTCCGCCCTCGGCCGTAGACCCTCAGCTCCCGGGTTCTTCTCGGTTCGTAGGCCTGGAGTGGGTGGTAACCCACCCAGAAACCACGAGAGCGAGTGCGGACCGACCCTTTCCAAGGGTTTTCCACCCGAATCCTAACTACGCCCCATTTCAAGTCCGTCCTCTACAGAAGCGGCGGCACGCCTCGGGGTCAAAAGTGGGGAGCGGGCGGGGAGCAGAGCGGGGAGCCCCGGGGGAAGGGCGGGGGTGCCTGGGCCGGAAGGCGTCCCAGGCTCGGCTAGGAGCCGGCGCTCTCTTTCGACGCCACCCGCTGCCTCCGCCCCCGAGCCGGCCGGGACGGCACCAAGTCTCCGCCCCTGGCGCACCGCGCACCTCACCTTGAACGCTGCCCCACCCACCCCCAGCCTATTGGGCCTCCTGGGGCCGAGGAGCCTCGGCGATTGGCTCGACTAGCCCGCGAAAGCCCCGCCCACCTCCCCGCCCCAGTTCTCGTCCGCCGGTACTTTGGACGGCGGCGTGGCGCCCCTCCTCCTCTCCCGGTCCCCGCCCCCTGGAGCAAATGCTGCCGAGCTGCGGCCGCGGGGCAGATGCATGCGCTCGGGCCCCTCTAGCAGGCGCAAGCAGTCGCTGGGCGCGCGAAAGCGAAAGAAGGAAGAGGAAGGGAGGGCGAGGGCGGGGTGTTGAGGAGGGGCGGGAGGAGGAAGAGGAGGAGGTTGGAGCGCGCTCGCGCCTGGCCTCGCGCCCGCGCGGAAGGAGGGGGGAGAGGGGCGCGCGCGCGCACGCTCGCGTCCTCGCTCGCTCCATCCATCCATCCTCCGGTCGCGGCACGCGCGCGCGCTCCGGGCTCGCGCCGCACCCCCCGCCCGGGAGAGGCGGGCTGGAGTGGGGGGCGGGGGGAGGGGCGCACGGAC